TTAACAGTTATTATATTTTGCTGTACTTATCACTGCAGAGGGCACATGCTTACTGCGGAACTGTTACAATTTTTAATATTTTTAAAATAGGCCCAAAATACATTGCATATTCTGATCTCAGTAAATAAACCCTAACTAACATACCTACCTAGGAAACATTTAAATGCCTTAACCAACATCTATCTTTATATACATGAATAAACACGCTCTAACGATTTACTTATGTACTTCCGTGTTTAATAAAATGCATAATACTGGAGAACCCTGTTTACCTACTTTCTTACGCAAAAAATTTAAAAGAGCCCAAATATATATATATGTATAGTGGCGGGCAAAAATGGATGAATGGGGTTTGGTTTTTAATATTTTTGATGTTTTTCAAGCTCGTATTTTTTTGATATTTGCTTATGAAATATGGTTCATGCTTCAACAAAAACTATATAAATCACACTTTCAAACTTTATACAGAACTTAGAAAAATTCATTAATTTTTATCTAAATTTCGTGCTTTTTAACCAGAATTTTTAGAAATTTTTTGGGTATGCAGTTAACAAGCTTATAAAATTCTAGTAAAATAAGTGCAAGTTTTGAGAAACTAAAAAATCGCATTAATTTTTAATATTTTTTTTTGCTGACGGCTTTTTCGGTTTTTTTCATATAAAAAGCGAAATTTAGGAAAACTGGAGTTGACTTTGGTTTATTTTTATCGCAAAAGATCTTGCACATATTTTTCCACATAAAATTCATGTTTATATGGAAAAAAGTGCAAAACGCTGTCAACAAAAAAAAAATTATTAAAAATCAATAAGATTTTTTAGCCGCTCAAAACTTGCACTCGTTTTACTAGAATTTTATAAGCTTATTAACTGCATACTCCGAAAATTTCTAAAAATTTGGTTCAAAAGCTCAAAAATTAGATAAAAATTTGTGAAATTTTTCTAAGTTCTGTATAAAGTTTGAAAGTGTGATTTATAAAGTTTTTGTTAAAGCATGAACCATGTTTTTATAAGAAAATATCAAAAAAATACTAGCTTGAAAAACATCAAAAATATTAAAAACGAAACACCATTCATCCATTTTTGCCCGTCACTGTATGTGTTACAGCTATGTACCACCGTCCTTGAGAAAATGCATTATGCTGGAAAACAATTTATACTTTCTTGCAAAAGTGATTAGGGCTATAAATTTTTCTGTGGAAGAAATTTAAAAGAGCCCAAGTTAAGCAATTAAGGAATATTTCTTGCTTCCGAAATTTGTTTTACATACTAAACATCATTCCAGGAATTATTACAATTTTTTGGAATGTTGAAGTTTCTGGCTCTCTGTGAAAAATGTAGGTCGCTATACACTGTAGTAGTTGATTTATCTATTTTCAGTTCAGTTTATACAACGTATTTATATACGTGCCCCTAGATAAATGTTTTGAATTTAAATCAAATCGGCCTGGAAATTCGGATTTTAGAAATATCTCGACTCCAGCGCCACCTATCGAGTCTATTTTCACACAATATATTTATGTTTAGGTGTTTAATAAACGTTTCGAATTTTAATCAAATCGGTATGTAACTACGGATTTTAGAAATATCTCGACTGCAGCGCCACCTATCGAGTCTATTTTCACGCAATATATTTATGTTTAGGTGTTTAATAAACGTTTCGAATTTTAATCAAATCGGTCTATAAATACGGATTTTAGAAATATCTCGACTGCAGCGCCACCTATCGACATTAGTTTTGTTCTATAACACTCCCAGTGATTATATGTACCTACCGTAAAAATTTCATTAAAATCGGTTGGGTACTTTTGACGCCTATAAAGGACATACAGACAAGCATTCATTTTTATATACATAGATAGAAGATAGATGTCGATAGCAGATTTTGTTTACTTTTACCATATATGTAATACTCCTATATTGGCAGTAAGAGCTAGTACCGTCCGAAAACACTACAGTACAGATATATCAATAAACACGTACGAAAGAAAAGGAACACATACGTTTATAAATAAACATGTACACAGCACATATAAAAAAACGGCACTCAAGTACACAATACATTGATAACAAGTAAGAAAGTTTAAGTTCGGGCGGAGCCGAACATTAAATACCCGGCGCAGGTATTAAATATGTGTTTTCCACCTTTCCGAAAGCTACCGCTAATAAGCCGGGGTGTATAAATTTTAATTAAATCAGCGTCCTTAAATTTCGAAATATTGAAATTTCAAGCACTTCTGAAATTTACCGGTTATATGAAAAACGGCCGTAATTTTAGTCCGATTTCAACAATTTTCAACGGTTTGCTTTTGTGTGGCAAGCACAATAACCGTACCGAGTTTGGTACAAATTGGTAGAACGGTTACCGAGACACATATATGTGATCATAAGTGGGCGGTGCCACGCCCATTTTCCAAAATTTTATCACAAACATATTTCTTTGTTAAGAATTGTTGCACCCATCAATTTTGAAAAAATAGCTTTAATATTTACTGATTTATCGAGGATTTCGTATTTTTCTAAATTACCGTTATATGGGATGTGGGCGTGATTATTGTCCGATTTTAAAAAGTGTAGGCCATTTGGTATGCTGTACCAGGACCAACAACTGTGCCAAGTTTGGAACAAATTGGTGCAGCGGTTACCAAGATATACACATGTAACCATAAGTGGGCGTGGCTACGCCCATTTGCCAAAATTTTTTAATATTCTTATTCTCCATCTAAAACTCATTGTAAATATCAATTTTGAGTGAATTATCTACAGTAGTTACTAAAATATCGCAGTTTTCGTATTTCTGAAAATTACCGTTATATGGGAGGTAGGCGAGGTTATTGTCCGATTTCGCCCATTTTCAATACCATCCGTCCTACGACCGATGCATGTATATCTCAATTTTTACTCGAGTTATCGTGTGCACAGACGGACGGACGGACGGACAGACAGTCACCGCTTAATCGATTTCTCTTTTCATTCTGATCATTTATGTATACATTTGTCTATATCTATCTCGATTCGTTTTGCCTGTTACAAACAACCGTTATGAGAACAAAGTTATAATACCCTTGTGCACAAGTGCGCTCGGGTATAAAAACGGTACTAGACTGTCTCGCTTTGATTTCGGAATGCTTACACATTGAGAAGATAGCTTACTGCCAATATAGAAGTATTACACAAGAATGATAGAATACAAGATTGCGCCGATCAGAGAGGATTTTTGAGAATAACTTTTGTGTGACGTCACACTGGTGCAATTGCGAGAGAGAAATGCCAAAACGTGAGCAAGAATGGAAGAAGAAGAAAAAATGTTGCAAGGAAAACGTAAACAAGTTGCACCAGTGTGACGTCATGCAAACAACTATTCTGTCAAATTCGTTAAGAGAGGAATAGCGGTCCGAGATCGGCGCAACCTTTGTATTCTCTCAATCGTGAGTATTACATATATGACTTTTACATACGACTTTATCGAGTGCGCTATAAAGACAGGGGTATAAATGCTGTAAAAAAATATATGTTGAGTATAATCGGTTTTTTGTTAATGCGGTTCTTGTGTAGGTATATGTGTATTGACCGATTTATAAAATGTTTAATATGTTTGCAGTGTAAACCAACGGACTTTTTGACACGCACTCACCTGAAAAGTATGTTATTTACATTATCCATTACATCCATTATTTTTAGGACCTAAAAACCTATAAAAATGGCAAAAGAAAAGAAGGCGAAATAGGCAGGAAAAGACACCAGAAATTGCAATAAAGGCAAAAGAAGGCACTAAAAAAGACAAAAACCGAAAAATAATCAAAAAATGCATTTCGTCACTAGACACGAATAAAGGCGCAAGCTCAAAAGTTGACGGCGAAAAACGACGCATACAAAAAATTTCAGCGTCAAAGACTCTTAACATACTTCGCCGAAGTTTTTCATAAGCATCTTTTTTCGCAAAATTTTTTTACGCGCCTTTTTTCGCCGTCAAAAGACTAGCGGGCCTTTAACGTGTGTAGTGCCGATTTATTTTAGAAATGTTTATTTTACAAGTAAAAAGAGAAAAACTATGAACTAGTTTCATTCTAGTCCAAAACGGCTGCAGAGAGGGAAACTTTTGGTTTGCTAGTTGCGCTCTGTAGAGAAGTTAATGCACAAATTCTCACTTCTCGTACAATACTAAAATAGCTCAGAGGGAAGACCTCCGACTCCAACATCGTTGGTCGCGAGTTCAAATCGCGGTGGAGGCGGTTATAATTTTCAGATTTAATAAATTTAAATTGTTGAGTTCCGCTTAAGAGAAAATGATCAAATTTAATACAAATAAATTAAAAGAATAAAAAAAAGTAAATAAAATGCGATCTGTAAAAGAACAGAAAAAATTAAAAAATATCAAAAATTCTGATAATCAAATTTTTTTCATAAAAAACGTATTGTCGCAGATCTGTCCAAAACGTAAAAAGTTCAGAAAAGAAAAAATATCCAGTAATTTGGTTTAAAAATTTTTCCTCATAAAATAAATCGCACTAGTTCAGAACTAGTTCCAAAGTTCTGTAGAGGTGACAATTTCCACTTCGTAGAACATCGCCATGTAAAAAGAGACAGTTGATAGCATTGCGTTGGGATAGATCGAGAACCAGCACCGCCTCTTAATGAGCTAGTTCTGAACTAGCGCAATTTCCTGCAGGGTATAAACATACATATACTTATATATAAATCCATATAGGTACAATGTACATATGTGTGCGCAGCTATCCAACATCAAATTGTTGTGACGCCGGAACTGTCAGATACCAAATATTCAAAAAAGCGTTGAACCATCAGAAAGTGGAGGGGTACGGGAGGGAAAGAAGTTATAACATTGTTTGAAATTGTTTGTTGATGTTGGAAGTGGAGGTAGCGGCGAAGGCGTAAAAGATAGCTCCCGCGCAGTTATCACAGCTAGGCAGCAGCGAATCGGCAAAGCTGCCGACCGACCGGCCGCTGTCTGGAGATTCTCGTACAATTTACCAAACAAAAACTTGGGCGCGCCACAGAGAGACCACTCAGTTTGTGTATAGCAGTCGCGCGTGTAGCTTCTAACTTGCCGCCATTGACGGGAAACCGGGATACGAAAAAGAGCTCCACTGTTGGTTGGCAGCTAGTTGGAGTTTGTGAAACTATTCGAAGTCAGTGAAAAAGAAATGAATAAAGTTGCATTCAGAGGATGCTTGAATATTTTAAGGAAGTGACGAATTTTCTATTAGAAAAGTTTGGTATAAAAACGCATTTTTTAAATATTACCTACTGAAAAAACAACTTTATAGGAAATAAAGTGCAAAATTAAAAATGGCCAACGAAGTTCCTGCAAGCGGCAGTATTTTAGGCAGTAAGTAAATTACAATACAATAATTAATATACCTTTTCCCATACAAACTCAATTTAAACCGTTAAAACATAATACCGGCAATTTCATAATCGCTACTAAAAGTTGCAATTGTAATAATTAGGTTGAGAGTGTATACATATTTAAGTACAAACATATATAAATATGTATTTACAAATATGCATATTTATATTTTGGTACATATGTATGTAAGTATATCCATATCCATACATATATATATCCTTAGATATGTACGTACGCATTTTCTCCTCTTCGATTGAATTGGTTATGTCAATGTCACCTTGTTCTTGCCTTTTGGTGGTCTACTCGTGCCACTACAAATTTATATACAGCCTGTGTGGCGGCGCAATGATATACACACATACATACCTGGAGATTATGACCTTAAGCATGATAAAAGGTCATTGATAGTACCTTCCGTAGGACATTCTTGCACAACTATGCTATACAACAGCTTCCACATGCACGTTTAAAATTGTATACATATATGTAACTACTTAGTAGTATGTGCGTAGGTATAGTTTACTTTTGAAAGCGTGAGCATTCTAAAAATAATTCAAAATATTTTAAAGTGACGCAAAAATTGTTCTCATAAACGAAATTCCATTTACTATGGGAATGCTCGGCGCCAAATACCAGCAATTAGATATACTACATATGTATGTATAATTTAATACACATGTTTTTATATGTATTTAGTATCTATATATGTAAATCTATGCATATGTATGTGCCGCCATATGCGAAAAAAGAAAATATTTTGGTTTCCTCAGAGCTTATGATTTAAATTAATTCCCACAGTTGCGAAATTTTTTTGGGAGCAAGGTCATTTGGAAGTCAATTTTTTTTTTTTAACAAGGAAGGCCATTATTTAACCATGAAATTATTTTTATAATGTGATATATATGCACCATTTTCAATTAAAAAAGAAAAAACGATTGTTAAAAAGGGACATAGGCACAGATATCTACATAATTATGTATGGGTATATGCATATGTATATAGCACATACATATCAGTGATGGAAAAGTAGGTATACTTTTTTGAGTGCCTTTTTAATTTGGAAGTATCTACATTTAGTAAAAATACGCCATTTTAGATATATTGTCGGGTGATTGACTCGATTTTTCAAAGCCGATTTCCACTGTTTTTTTTCTGATATCAATAAGCGTTTTTCTTAATCTTGATTTTTCGAATATCGAATAGACCGGATTTTTTTATTGCACTAACCTCTTAATAAATGTTTTGAGTTTTTCGAAGTTTTCAAGGCTTTTTTCATTTTAAGGTAAAAACCCGTAAATTGAGAGATCTACACTCTTACTCCAGCTCCGAAGAAGCTTTTTATGGGAGAAGTCCACTCTGAGGTTTGCCAGTGTCTGCCGAGGGGCGACCGCTATTTGAAAACTCCTTTTTGATGTTGCTGGAACTAGAAGTTGCAATAGGCACGTCTAAGCACTCACTAAGCTACGACGGCAAGAGCACTACTCAAATCCGAAAAAAAGTCAGGAAAAATGCAATAAAGTATAAAAAAGTTAAAATAAAAACAGACGTGAATTTTCAGTGATTTTTTATTTGTTTTACTTTTGATCTAAAGAAAAACTTTGAACTTATTTGCTCTTTTCTAAATAAAAGCTACCTTTAATGTTAATAGTTTTATTGTAATTTTTTGTTATGACTTCATTGCA